TGGGGCGGTTAGGGAAGCTGCAATCATGGCACACAATTATGCTGCAGCAACACACACACACGCACACACACACACACAGGCTGGAGTCAGAACGCTGTGTTCGGAGGCAGCGGAGTCAAGCTGTGCTCATGTTGAAGTTTCTGAAGCACAGACTGCAGACTGCACTGTGACCTAGTAACGAAACAAGGCCAGTGTGTTATCGGGTCTGCTTCACAGCGGGACACTGATTTACAAACAAAAAGTCACACGCATGCACACACACACACTTGTGACACAAACGCCTGCAGCATGAACCGCGCTGCACGACATTATCAAGGAACACACTGCAGTTGCTGTGGCATGAGAACAGTATTTATATCAGCAGACAAGATGTAAGTTAAGGCTGGAATAGTGTCAGCAAAAAACAAAAAGTGATTAAAAAAGACACTAAAAAGGAATGACGTGTGTCTTCACACACACAGAAACACACTTTCCACCTGGAAAACATACCAACACATAAGGGAAGGATATAGGAAGATCGTCGTCTGTAGCTGCTGCAAATTGATGTCATATTTCAGCCTGTCGTGTTTTCTGTGTACGGGCATATTTAGTGTGTGTGTGTGCCTGTGTGTACATGTGTAGGCAGCCCAGCTCCGAGCCCGCAGTCGTACGATCTGCTGGTGTTTTGATGTTGCAGCATGTGTGGGAGTTGACACAGCGCTGCTCATTTAACATGTGGGGAAGCTTTATACGTTCATGTTCATGTGGAGAACAACAACAGGCTCATGTTCATAAACGACAGAGTGACACTTCCTATTTGTGCGGTGGGAATTTAATGGTATAATTAAAGAAAACAAAAGTAAGACGAGGATTTCTTTGAAAAAAAAAACAAAGAAAATTATACTCACATTTGTATATAATCAATTGTTTATCATCCTATTCCAGTCATTCTCCCACACCAAACTCTTTACACTTGATACCACTTGTCATGTGACTGTTACCATATTTGGTCGCTTTAAATGTTTTATTTTTCAAGTTTAATTTTAGAAATGATGTGAGTTCAAATCAGTGACGCTAATAAAATGAAGTAGTCACGGTAGACCAGGCTTTTCTGTCTAAAAATACTTTGCTATTAGAAAGTGTGTGTTTGCTGTGAAAACTGACCAATGGGGAAGAGGACAGAGACGTTTAAGTACTGATTACTGGTTGATTTTTTTTTGTTGCTGTTAAAACCATGCATCAGTGTTATGTTTCTCCTGTTCCTCTCTAGATGTCTGTCAGGGTGAATACAAACATCCTGAGTTCTCCCCTCAGAGCGCTGAGATCACGAGCTGTTGAAGAGCAGTAGACACTCAGCAGACAGTGATTTTCTCCTCTTCTCCCCTCCTGCTCATTTAGGTCAGTTCTCAGCCATTAACTCTGTGTAGGCAGGGGAGAAGCAGAGCGGTCGGTCGACCCCTTCGCTTTTACACAGCCGCCTGATAATAAGGCCTGGTGCCTGGGAGGAATGCAGCAGACGGAATGCGCTGTTAACATGTCTGTGTCTCCTAAACACTGCTTTGTGCTCATGAATCTGGTTATCAAACGCAGCCTGGCGGCTCTCTGAGCGTTTCCCAGCCTTGACATCCACCAGCAGCCTCTCCCCTGAGCCTTTTCGACTTGACCTCCTCCGTATCTGCTCTCACACACGCTCACACTGATGGGAAATATGAGGCGAATAGGTTTATTTTTGCTTTAAGCTCCTTATGTGTCCTGACCATAAAGGTAAATGTATGAGATGTAAGTAGATAAGCCTGGGAATAACGGCGTCCAGTAAAAGTACAATTTAAAGATAAGTGGCATTTGGCCTTTGAGGTGCATGACCGCAGACGTGTGCAGTTAAATAAAGATCTAATAAAAATGCTCCAGTTTCTCAACATGCCATTCTATAGAAACAGACTATAGAAACAGACTGGTAAAAATAGAAAAAGCTGGAGGTGATAGTGACGAGACAGAGGGATAGAAAATAGCCATGGATTGTGAATGAGGCTGCAAATGAGTGTGTGTGACATTGGAGCAGTCTGTGTGTGTGTGTGTGAACATGTGCTGGACCTTCCACATCCTCATTGATGTGCCGGTCCATAAACGCTTGGCCGTGACTGGGTCTCCCCAGTGGGGCTGGTGGAGCAGTGGCTGATGGGTGGATGATCTGAGCCACGCAGCTGCCGCCGCTCAAGGTGAGCCACGCAGGGCGCATAAATCTGCATGGATAATGAGCAGCCACCGCAAAGGGGCCACTTAGAAGCATTACACAACGTTTGCGGAATGTTCGAGTGTGTGTGAGTGTGTGCACAGAGTGCATAAAAAGAGATAGACTGTCAGAAAATATTTATTTTTGAGTGTGTGCAGTAGAGCTGGGCTGACTCTGTTCTGCTGCCGTGCACCAGAGTGGATGTCATATAACAGTCGACATTAGAAGGATGAGGACCATTAGGATCTCCAGTTCTCCTTTTAGGGTTGTAGCAAATGTGAAGAAATTATGCATTTCTGTCCTCTCCTCTCTTTTCTCTCCTCTCTTCTCTTTTCCCCACCTCCTCTCCTCCCCTCTCCCTCCCCTCTTCTACCTCCTCTCTGTTCTTTTGATAATCATAAAGTATACTGCTACTGTATTTCCCGGCCTGCTGTTGGTGATAAACGACTCTCATGAACACCCTCTGCAAGTCAGATGTGATATCAGCGTGTGATCGATTGCTTTTGCCTGCCTCGCCATCTGATATGAGCAATTGCCTATTTTTTTCTAAATATCCTCTTCTTTTTTTTTTTTGTTTCCGCCCAGGGTCGGAATTCTGCTTCCGTAATTTCACCAGCTCCTCTGGAATGATCGAGTCACCGGGGTTTCCGGATAAATACCCCCACAATCTGGAGTGTTCCTACATGATCATTGCACCGCCTCGCATGGACATCACCCTCACCTTCCTTACCTTCGACCTGGAGAATGACCCCCTACTGGTGGGAGAAGGAGACTGCAAGTACGACTGGTTGGACGTTTGGGACGGTCTGCCACAAGGTGAGTGTCCACACTTAGTTTGAACTGAAACAAACAGGAAAGCAAATGTGTAGTCCAGTCTGGAATCAAACAGATAAGTCTCTGTACAATAGGGACTGTGACGTTTAGATGAAAAAAAGTCCAATTTCTGTGGTACAGAGTAAGACAGGAGGGAGACAGGACAGACTGGAAGAAGAAAAGTTGGTCAGAAATGTCGGCCAGATCTTGGCCTGGACAAAGAGGGAATGGAAGGGCATAAAACCTCAGACACTGAGCCAAGAACCATATTACTATAATCATTTGGGATAAAGTCTCAATCATTGCTAAAGTAAAATAGATCAGGCAAATTTCAAATATTTTTTCCAACCTCTGTATCTTCCCTGTTGATACTGCACAACATTCCTGTCCATTTCATAGAGGAAACATTTTTACACGGTGAGCTGAATGTGTTTCAACACCCCCCACCCCTGAGGAGCAGCCCTTTCCCATGCCCCTCTTCCCGGCACCATAATAACCCTCCTTCATCACCAGCGCTCCTCTCTTCTCCGCCTTATCACCTCACGCTTCCTTCCTCCCGCTGGTGAGAGAGAATGACGGCCATGATGAATATCTCAGCGTGGCCAATAGTAGATGCTGCACACTGCAAAAGTGGCCTATCAGCAGTGATCAGGAAGTAGGCCGACGAAAGAAAAACACATTTGGTCATCACAACAACACGTTGATAGTAAAAGTTGCTGGACTGAAGTTTGCTGCTGCAGTGAAAAGTACATTAGCAGTGGTGATTGGTTAATTTCCCGCCTCTCTCTGCTCCTGTCTTCACCCTACTTGTAAAGATGAGACATTCACTCTAATTATTCTATTTTTGGAGAATGGGAGCGGATTCAAAATTCCAATTACAACCTTGAATTTTGGAGGTTCGATAGCTGGGAAGAATTTATAGCATTTAAAGCTGTGAATTAGGAGGAAAATGAGCGTCTAACCCAGTTCCAGTGAATCAAGTCCTCAGGCAGAAAAGAGGGATGGAGCCAAGTCAAGATGGAGAAGGGTGGAGAATTTGGTGTCTGGCAGGGGAGCTACTCTGGAGACCACTGTAATCCTCTCTCACTGGCTGTATAAGAGTGTGTGTGTGTGTTGCCTGCATTAGGGCGGGGTTTCCAATCCCCCTGCTGGGCTCTGGCTGAGACACACATGGCAGATGGAGGGATGGACAGGAGTGAAAAGGGAGAAAGAGGAATCATGGGAGGAAAATAGGCTGGGGGGGGGGCAAGGAGTCGTTACTGAACACTTACTGAAGCAGTGAGACCACTGGAAACATTGATATGGAAAAAACAGAAACAATGATTCTGTCAGCTCATGATTTGTAAACACTGTTCACAGGAAATGGATGATATCTCTAAAAATGTGTTGAACTAAAATCAACTTCCACGCTCAAAACACACAAATGGAAGTGTCTCCCACGGGCTCATTTACACCTTTTATGGAATGAATCACATGTTTTTATAACGTAGCATGTAGCCTTGGGCCTCTAATATAAGAGTGCATAACTGCATTAACAGTACCTGCACCAAACCCCAGTATAATAATCAGTGTTTTTGGCTCTCGACATAGCATAAGCTGCTAGTCCACCGCTGGCTGATTTGCTGTGGTATCACTGAGGTAGATCCACATTTTAATTTTAAAGAGTTAATGCTCATAGTAACACATTCATATTCAATACAGTCGACAGATTCAGACAGAAATCTCTCCGTGAACCGTGATGTAAAACTGACAGTTTTCTCCAGGGAGTTTGGTGTAGAACATTTTCCTGTTAAAGCAGTGAGTTTTCACAGGATTAAAAAAAATCAAACATTCTCACCCGACAGACTAAAGTGCATATGTGCATATATTTATATGTGGAGTCATGTGTTAATGTGTCTGTTTCTACAGTGTCTCCTCTGATTGGACGCTACTGTGGGACCAAGATCCCTCCAGAGATCCAGTCGTCCTCCGGCCTGCTGTCCCTCTCCTTCCACACGGACATGGCCGTGGCCAAGGACGGCTTCTCTGCCCGCTACAACATGACGCACAAAGAAGTCAGCGACTGTGAGTGGAAGATAACTTTTAGCTGTGTTTGTGTCTTGGAACGCTCCCCGTGTCAAGTCTGTTTACCTGATTTCATTCCCGTCTGTGTTTTTTCGTCTTTTTCAGCATTTTTTTTTCACTTTCCTTCCTCTCTGCTGACACTCATCTTTTCTTTCTTCATCCCGACCCATTCCAGCTTTTCAGCCTTCTGCCTACTTTAATGCTATTTCAATCTACAACTTGGCTCTTACCCCTGCAGGCCTATTCTGCTCCTTCCCCTCAGGGAGCCTGATTTTTCAGACTATTTTCTTTTAGAATATAAACTAACTTCACCTCAATTTACCTCAGCGTCACCTGCTGGATTTCTTTTCCATCTAATTCAGCCATTTCTCCCCATGGATTCATTTTTCTGTCTCTTTCTTTAAGGTCTCCATTATTCCTCCAAGATCTTTTGTCTTCAAAGTCTTTTGTATGTCATCTCTCCTTTACAACTTCTTTCTACACACCTCGTCCTGACTCTAAAGCCTCTGTCTTCCCTGTTCCCCCGACAGCCTTCCACTGCAGCATGGCTCTGGGGATGGAGTCGGGAAAGATCAGCGATGACCAGATCAGCGCCTCAACTACATTCTACGACAGCCGCTGGCTGCCACGACAGGCACGCCTCAACAACAACGACAACGCCTGGACACCGGCGGAGGACAGCAACAAAGAGTACATCCAGGTACTTGACACGCACGCACACATCGTCTGTGTCTTTTTTTGTAGATTACAGTAGATTAGATTAAAATCTAACACTTTTCCTCTGGAACGATAAGACTAATGTTGCAATCAATTTCAAAAAGTACCTCCCTGAATTGAACCTTCTATAAATCTGACAAACTATTTGGAGATGAATCAGTGAAATGTTATTTCTTCTGGTCCTGACTTTTCTGTATCAACTGTGGTTTAAAGATTCCTCGAAAGTTCCTAAACAGAACATCCGGTTCTACATGACCTTCATTTATGAAGATGTAGGATCTGTAAAGAGATGATAAGGAAGTTTTTCTCCACTCTCAGTCTTTCCTGTTGTACGTGCACACACGCACACACACACACGTACGTGCGGACGTGCATGGGGGGGATGGTGATTGATGAAGGTGCTCTTCAGGAATGCATCCCAACATTAGGCCATTGATCTCTGCCTCTAGACTCTCCACCCTCTGCAGATACAACAATGCAGACACACACATAAACACCACCTAGGCTTCCTCAGCAGTGGGCCACCGTGGGCGTCCAACCCCTGCTGTCTTCATGACGGATATTCGCAGCAGCTGCTCTTCGTCTGCTCTCTGCATCAACATCATTGAGCTCCTTAAATCCTTACATCCATCTCCAAACCACTTCTGAAACTCGATTTTCCCCTTCACTGTTCTGCTTTCGTCATTTTAAAGATAACAAATTCAAAATCTGTCCTTTTTTTTTCCTCGCCGTGTTCCCAGGTTGACCTCCAATTCCTGAAGGTGCTGACGGGCATTGCCACACAAGGAGCCGTTTCTAAGGAGACGCAGAAGTCCTACTATGTCACCACCTTCAAACTGGAGGTCAGCACCAACGGGGAGGACTGGATGGTCTACAGACACGGAAAGAACCACAAGGTGAGTTTTTATTACACGTCGTCCAAAACCTGCCTTTTCTACTCAGAGTGCTTGAACTTTTAGTGCCCTTTTATCCAACTTCTGCACCAATAATGCAGCCTGTGTGCTTTCAAGACACATCTTCTTGCTCTAACCTAATCATGAAGC